ATTTGTTGAATGAATAAATAAATGAGTGAGGAAACAGAAGCCCAGAGAGGAGGACTGGTTTGCTGAAGACCTCACATGCAGTGATTCCAAGGCCCAGAGTGTGGTTTTCCCAGACCCTCATGGCTGATGATCCTAGTTTAAAAAAATCTGCCCATTACTCTTTTTCAGGCAAAGAGTGGTGGTGTCTTCTTCAGAGTTTTGTTTAGGTGAATGGGGTGAGGCCAAAGGGCAGGCTCTGTGCTCTGGGCTAGGTGAGTGCTTTGCCCTTTTCATCCTGGTCATGCCACTTCCTGAAGACTTCACCCCTGTTTCCCACCAAAATTCCACCTTCCCCTGCCCTCACCCTCAGGCTCAGAATGCTGTTGTCACTCTGTACGGTGGCGTTAACTACTTTCTGTACTATTACATGCTGAAAGGGTTGCCCAAAGATAATCATGACTGCCTTACTGCTTCCTTAAAAGACTGAACCTAAACCATCCCAGAGACATTAACAGCTTTCATATCCTCTAAAAACTTCCAGACAAGAAGATTCCATAATTTCCTTGTTGGCATCTGTGCTTGGCAGTACTGCTGCAGGAATGTTCTTTATTGCAGCCTGTGGTTAAGACTTAACAACAAATGCCTTTTCTTTAGAATCCTTCTGGGTCAGCTTTCTTTCCTGTATAGCACTGAAAAGTGAGATTTGCCCTAAAATGTTGAGAGAGAGAGAGAAAGCAAAAGATAGAGAGCACAAGCCAGCACAAGCCTGAAATCTATTTATACCGAGGAAAACATAAGGTCTACCTGCAGGGGCCATACTCACCCCCAGCCTGTAGCCATTCCCTGCATGAACCCGTCCTCTCTAGAGGGTACAAGGACACAGGAAGCAAGCCAGAGAAAGGTGAGACCTTGGCAGTTACCTTTTAACAGCCGCTGTTCCCCTAGCATTCTGTGAGGCAGCCAAGCAGCCACGTTAAGAAGAGGGTTGATGTGCAAACCCACTGTGGGCTGAGCATCTTCTAAGGAAGCACATCCCCTCCCCGTCCTCTGAACTCGACACGCCGTAAGACTGAACTTCATAGTCATGATGCTACTTCCCTCATGGCTGGCATCCAACCCAAAATGGCCTCCATGACTACAGCTAAGGAGGTGTCATACTCATGAGCAGTGGAAGAACGGCCCTGCAATGCTTAGCACATCAACTACTTTCTCTTCATCTCTTAGCACAACATACACTGACTCACTATAAAATTGAATGATCTGCTTTATTATGTAATGAAAGTACTAAGTACAGTGGCTTATCTCCTACTATTTGCTGACACAATTACCTGGGTATGTTTTTCAGTGGGGAACCAACACTCAAGTCCTAGAAATTCTAGGGATTGCCATTTTTTTTTTTTTTTTTTAAAGCAAGCTAATTCAATTATTCCTTGATTTCTAGAAGGAGGCCTCCCTCTATTTTTGTCTCTCTTTCAGTTTAGAGGCTATGCTGGCCTCTGTGAGTGGCTCTAACGTGCTGGTAACGGCGCGGCTCATCAGGAATTGGGATTTGGGGGTGGAACTGCACAACTGGGCAGTCGCTGGAGTGCAGATCTGCCTAAAGTGGATGAGGAGTAGGGTGGGAGGGTGGTAGTTTGTGTTGGGAAGTTTCAGGTTCCTAGGAGGAACTCTCAGACCTGGCGGTGTGAGCCCCCATAAGGAGTGCAGCGGTTGGCTGCCAAGGAAGTGGAGATGGGTCAAGTGTGAGTAAGAGGAGGGCAGGGCCAGAAGTTGATTCAAATTCGGCGATAGGATTATGATGAAGTTTAAACATTTCCAAGGAGCTAATTTAGTGCTTTTTCTTACATCCTATGAACCAAATGCCAATTAGTTCCACACAGCTACTTTCTAAGGTAGTGTTTAGAATATTTGCTTATTTACCACTTAATTCAAATTCTATGAAACCATTCACTGAGCTAAGTGTGACAATTTCCATTGAGCCTGCAGGGACATTTCAGTGTGCACACAGTAAGACGAGGAAAACAATGCCCAGCACGTGGGTCCACAGCAGGTGCCCTGAGCAGAGGGAGAGGGCTCTTCAAAGGAGGCCTTAGAAACAATGACACAGCCTCAAAAGAAAATGCCACTGGGGTTGGCTTGCATGTTCCATCAGTAAGATACTTACAGCTGGATTACTGAAAATATGAGTTTGCGTTTCATAAGAAAAAAGGGATCTAGTTCTACCTGAAGATTTCAGATACGTGAGCAACTAGAATATTTCAATGGTTTCGAGGATGTAGATGATGCAGGGAGGATAATCATTCTACAGGGGGAGGAAGAAAGAAAATCAACACACAGCAAATTCTCATTTAAATGAGAACACACAGCAAATTCTCACTTAAAAGGCCAAATAGATTTTTGTGTGATGTCTATACGGTGTGCCTCTTATTTAAAATGCCATTTCCAATGCCATGGAAATAAGCAATTATCAGGGATTTGATCTAAAAAGAAACTTTAAGGTTATGTCATATACATGTGTATCCCAGTTTCCTTTACATTTTACTGCCTTGGTATTGTATTTTTGATAAATAATTCAAGGCTGGAGGACCCCTTGAGCTCAAGAGTTCCAGTCCAACCTGGGCAACAGAGCAAGGCTCTGCCTTTAAAAAGAGACCTATATTTGTCAAATGCCTACTAGAGGATAAGGGCTGTGCTGAGAATTTTTGTATTTATCATCTCACCTAGCCTTCACGGCAGGGCAGCTAGTTAAGTATGTCCCCAACAGCGCAGTTAAGGAAAGGCCAGCTCAGGATCCCCTGGCTATGCTGCAGCTGCCATTCCTTGGCTTTCCCGTCACTTGGTACCTAGTGCTCCACTCCTTACCCCAGCCCCAGTATGTCATTTAGCTGATCTGTCCTTTTGCTTCTAGTGTCAGGATCTCTCTAGCTACCTACTTATTAGCGGGATGCGGAGTGGTAATGGAGCACTCTATGTTGAGTATGTAACAAGGATACAAATGTGAAAATGCTAGTGTTTATACAGTCCTTATTTATTTATTTATTTACTACTTTTTGAGACACATTCTCACTCTGTCACCCAGGCTGGAGTGCACTGGTGTGATTATGGCTTACTTTCAGCCTCAATCTCCTGGGCTCAAGCGATCCTCCCCCCTCAGCCTCCCGAGTAGCTGAGACCACAGGTGTATGCCACCACATCTAGCTAGTTTTTAAATCTTTTGTAGAGATGGAGTCTCCCTGTGTTGCCCAAGACAGTCTTGAACTCCTGAACTCGAGTGGTCTTCCCACTTTGGCCTCCTGAAGTACCAGGATGACAAGCATGAGCTGCTGCACCTGGCCCCAGTCCTCATTTTCATCAGCTGGCTGCTTTCCTGCTCAGCAGGGGTAACAGCAGATGTTGCTTAACAAGGGACTGGGATCTGAAGAAACCTCCACTACCCATGTCTTGTCTGTCAAATGGACAAACACAAATAGTGTTTTAAATTTTTAATTATTCTTTTTGTTTGTTTGTTTTGAGACACAGTCTTGCTCTGTCACCCAGGCTGGAGTGCAATGGCATGATCCTGGCTTACTGCAACCTCTGCCTCCCAGGTTCAAGTGATTCTCCTGCTTCAGCCTCACGAGGAGCTGGGATTACAGGCGCATACCACTACGCCTGGCTAATTTTTTGTATTTTTGGTGGAGATGGGGTTTCACCATGTTGACTAGGCTGATCTCAAACTCCTGATCTCATGATCTGCCTGCCTTGGCCTCCCAAAGTATTATTTTTTTAAAGATAGGGTCTTGCTATGTTGCCCAGGCTTGTCTCGAACTCCTGGGCTCAAGGGATCCTCCTGCCTTAGCCCTCTGAGTAGCTGGGGCTACAGGTGCACTCTACTACACCTGGCTTCTTGTTTTTTATGTTGAATGTAGATGCCTTTTGGTGGAGCAGGTGAGTGCCCCGTCACTTCCTCCTGTCCTATATACAACCTACTTCACTCCTTTGTATCATCTGCCAGGCCCCTGAAGGCATCTGGTTTGTGACCTCTGGGATTTAATGCTGGTTGTAACCATCAGCATCATATCTGGGTGATGAGGTCTTTGGTTTCTCCTAAGATTGCTGTGAAGAGTTGCTTAGTCGAACACTACACAACTCTAAGGAATCTCTTTGCAAAAACTATGGATGTGAGTTGTACTCCTGGGAGTTACAGAGTACACAGCTTGTGCAACTGTTGGTGGTGGCCCAAGAGCTGCACACTGTGCTGGTGGTTCACAGGGAATGACTCTGCCCAAACACAAAATATTACCTTTAGTCCCATAGGAATGACAGAAGTCAGGATGATGAACTAAGAGGAAGTGTATACATGGCTCAAAGGGTGACCATTTAATGGTTTGTCACTGTAAAGTTTATCTTTTGGGTTCCTACAACTTAAACCATCCAATTAAAAGTCATCTCTGGACAGACGAGGTCCAGCTACTAGTGTCCCCAAAGTGCCAAAATAACCGTACTCACTGATGTAATTAAGAAACCTGAGTGGGCTGTTTTCAACAATGGTGAGAAAAGCAAATTTACACTTCTTAGAATCTTACTGAATTAACGGTGAAAATTACTAGTTGCTTTTATTTTTCCCCCAAGCAAAGAAGGTGCTGTGAATGCTTTCAATCTTTTACTCTCAAGGGAAATCTAGTGATCCTTACACCATCTGAAAGACAGAAATCATAGCAATGATTCAGATCCCGCATCTAGGACTGTGCCAAACTTAGGCTGAACCACTCAAAACCTGAAGGGTAAGTGAACTAGAAACTACAAGTGACTGAGCCGCAGGTGAGGTTCAGTTCGCTTCAAGAAAGATATTCATATTCTGTGCCTCTGAGACTTTAAGTGTATCAAATAGAAACCGACAATGCCACAAACATAACGTGTGACTTGGACATCAGCTCCTGAGTGGGGACATGGCACCTAGTACATCTTCTAGCTCCTACTCAGCCAGTTTTCTGTAAGTCAATAAACATTCATTAACAATCACACAAACCAAATTACTGTACCTCCTCAGGTAAGCTGACCACCAAGTCATTTTTTGTCTGTCCGACCAGCGCCTGCCAAAAGTATTCACTGCATGCGGCCAGCACAGCCCGGTGGGCCCGGAACTCCTTCCTTTCCACGATCAAAGTCACGTCACAGAGAATATCCTTTTTCCGCTGGTCATTGAGGCCCAGGAGGATGTTGGTGCAGTGGACTGTGGACTCATATACATACATGGGGGAGTCAGGCTTCTCATCCACAGACATGCCGTTCACACCCTGAAAGAAAGAAAGAAAGAAAGAAAGGCTGAGTCACCACAGTTGTAGGACTGGAGAGAGGAGGTGAGAAAGAACATCATGGTTCCTGTGTCCCACTGCCATGAGCATGGCAGGAAAGAGGAGAATTGCCAATCAGCATGTTTCTGCTTACTTTGTACAATGAGCTCAAGAAACATATCTGGAAAGTCAAGCTCCACAGCTGACTTTTATCCTTCCTACTTACTGCATTCTTTTACCCCATGGTAACAAAGCCAGATCTTTTAATAGAACATTTAAAACACACTGGTATTTTAAAACTTGGTGGTTCTGATTTTGTTAGAAGGCTGAAAAGGAACTTTCACATGTAAATAGTCTCCATGCAAGGACTAATTTAGATTTGTGTTAAGAGGAAATGAATCATTTTGAAGTATTTCTAATGTCTTGATGAAGTACATGTAAGTTCCTAAGGTGAAATTTGGCTGAGATGCCAAGTAGAGTAAACATCAAATCACAATACATATTTAACAAGTGCACCAAACTGTCTGCACGCTGAAGACTCAGTAGTCAGCTACTGCATCTGCCCTCTGCCACTTCAAGGCAAAGCACAATCGCCATAATGCTATAGTTGCTCAGCTCTTACAAAGATGTGGAATTGTGCTGTCGTTATCCCAGCCGAATTGATGTACATCCACTTTAAGGAAACACAATATATCACAATAGCAGTCATGAAAAAGATGCATTCAACAGTCAAGACTACTTTTACAAAAGGTTCTTTGCTTTTAAAAATATCCATTGAAGTATTTCTTTCTTTCTTTCTTTCTTTTTTTTTGAGAGGGAGTTTTGTTCTGTAGCCCAGGCTGAAGTGCAATGGCGTGCTTCTCAGCTCACCGCAACCTCCACCTCCTGGGTTCAAGTGATTCTCCTGCCTCAGCCCACTGAGTAGCTGGGATTACAGGCATGTGCCACCATGCTTGGCTAAGTTTTGTATTTTTAGTAGAGATGGGGTTTCACCATCTTGGCCAGGCTGGTCTTGAACTCCTGACCTCAGGTGATCCACCTGCCTCGGCCTCCCAA